CTCCCCGTGATATTCGGGAATTGCCCGGGTAGTAGCAAGTGCCGCCAGCGACAACCAGCCGCTGACAGGGCTGTCGATGGCTCGCTGCCTCGAAGATTGCTTCGAAGCAAATCGACGAGGGATCTTTGGCATGCATCGCCAGTATCAATTTATCATCGAAACAAATTGCAAAGGGATCTTTGTAATTAGGCATACAACAGAGAAAGCCAACGTTACTTGAATTCTTTACATGCATCATGCACTACGGCAGGAGCGAATTACCGATCAAAAGCTTTCAGACACATTTAATATGTTAGCCAACCTGCCTAACCTTGATTTTGGCATTAAGCACTGAACAAAGTCGGTTAATATCCGAATTAAAGGAAAAACTCAAAAATACGAAGTGTTATGGAAATTTTAGGTGTATAAACAGTGAATATCCATGACCAGGAGATTAGAAGGGGATGGGATGCTCAAAATTGTTTACATATGGAATTATATAAATAATGCTGTTTTGGGCTAATATCATCTAGCATCAAATAAATATTGTCCTGGATTCTGTTCTAAAACAATGCCTGGAACTATTTTTGCAGTTTTTTGACTGAACAGACTCGGTCTTTTTGATAGGACCATGCCCATCCTCTCTCTTTAACTCATGAGTTAAGACAAAGGACAGCCCGCCCTCCACCCGTTCTCTCTTTGTATTTTTCGAAAGATGGAAACACTCGGAAATAGCTCGAATGGCAGCAATTGGCAATAGGCTATCGATGGTTCTCTCTTTTGAGAATTGCTTAGAAGTAGGCCGATGGCGATGTTGGAACCGTGGCGTATGGCAGTACCAATTTGTAGTTGAAAGAATGAATGAACCGTAGATGGAATTAACTTGCTATTTAGCTTTTTCCCAAAAATACCCCACCAAAAAAGTAGGTTCAACTTAAAAAAGTGGGCGAAAAAAAAGACGATGATAAAGTACCTGTGGAATTGATTGGCGGTGAAAGGAGTCGTGGCGAAAAAATGCGGGTAATAAGGAAGGATGAGGAGAAAATGATTGGCGACAATAAGTATGGAGTACCAATGATAGCAGTACCGGCTTCAGGAGAGAAAATTAGCGGATTTAGAGTCAGCGGTGATAAAATAATCGGGCTGAGAACTAGCGGTGATAGAATGGCAGGTGATAAAGTAAGTGGTGATAAGATGACCGGAAGCATACAGACAGGGGAAAGAATCAGCGGACTTAGAGTCAGCGGTGATAAAATTACCGGAGCCAGTGCTGCTGGATTCAAAATCAGTGGACTCAAAACAGTGGGCGAAAGAATGACCGGAAAAAATAGCCATGGACTGAGTATGCTAGCGCCAAAGATTGCCGGAGAAAGAACCGACGCACTAAGCAAAATTGGCGAAAGTACAATAGGAGCTGTGTTTGGCTGCAAAACAAGAGCAGTGAGCACAATGGGCGAAAGCACTGTTTGCCGTTTCTGGCGAATTTTTAGTGTTTCTGGATTAGTCTTCGAGAAGCGCCGGATGTCCTCGATTAGGTGCTGATGCAGCTGGCTTTCGTTCAAAGACAGGAAGAATTTCAGCTTTTTCGGATCACTGAATGGTGACTCGGGCCCGTATACATCAACAAGCTGTTTGGGTGTTAACATCGAGTATCCAGTGTTGTTCATTTCCAGAAGCTGAAAATACAAAATGTCCCATTATTATAACTGGTACTTTTAAAATTTGGTTAGCAATAAAACCCAGACTGGAATGCACCGGGCAGACTCGTGCGACCATGCGTTATTGCACCGGACTTTAAGTACTCAGATCATTAATTGCATGAATGGTTATTGCTTTACACATTCCTTTTGCGGTCACTAGCATAAATCACCATAAATTTCGCATAAAGTAAATGTACAATTCCCATTTAACGATCGTTTTTATGCGCTTTTGCTGTGCAGCGCTATAGCGCTGCTGCAGCCAGTACTTCAAGGCCCGCAAAAACGCATATTGTCGAGAGGCTGTGTGTGTGTGTGTTCGGAAAGCGAGTGCGTTCTGTCGTCCAATTTCATCTCAGCAACCAGGAAAGCTGGGAGGTTGAAACTTTCGATATATGTTCCTACCCCGTGTGTCACCCTTTCGTTTTAAGGTGTTTCCCCATACGCATCTAGACCTCGCGTACGGGACCCCAAAAAAAAAATATATTGACGGGAAACAATTTCGCGAACCAGGCAAAGTAAAAAGCTGAAACTTTGCGGGGCTGTTCTCTATGCATGTCAAGATAAAAATTTTAAACTCAGCTCTCTAGCTCCCCATTCACAGCCTCAAGCAGCTCCTCAACTCAAAAATCGT